TATTCAGCTTTGGTTTGGGGAATCAGACTCTGGTTGTCAAGCTTGTGCGGCAAATGCTGTAAACCACTGAGCCATCCTGTGTCTCTCCACATTATGCTTTGAGATGGGTACTTTTTAGAGAACCCGAAGGTGACCATTTTGGCAAGACTGACTTGCCTGTGAGCTCCAGGTATCTTCCTGTCTCTGCCCTTCCCCGTGCTGGCTTTGCAGGTATGCTGGCTTCTATGCTGGTGCTGGGCACCTGATTTAGGTCCCTTTGCTTGTTCAGTGCGTACTTTGCCAGCTGAGCCATCTCTACTGCCACAATAAAGAAAAGTTACCATTTTATTTATGTTGCCATGCTACCAGATGAGCATGTCATTTATAAAGAGCACAGACAGGAGACTAGATGCCCAAGAAGGGATGTACTGGTCCCCAGAGGATGGACAAAGGCCACTCCCTTGACAGTGGGTTGGTAGGGAGGTTGTATTGTAGTTTCCATTTCTTAGCGTTTGTTAATTTTAAGTCACTGTTTAAAAGACTTCTTCTATATGTGCATTTCCGTGTGTGGGTATGTGCACATGAGTGCAGGTGCCCACAGGGATCTGAAGAGGGCATTGGATCCCCTGAACTGGAGTTACAGGTGATTGAAAGCCTCTGGGAACCAAACTCAGGTCTTACGCAAGAGCAGCAAGCATACGAACTGATGAATCATCTGTCCTGCCCCTAAATCATGTTTTTTTAAACTCTTAGGTAAATGCAGAAGAATGAGGACAACCCAAGGAGTTCAGAGCACAGAAAAAGAGAGAATGTAAACCCGTTATAAGAAATTACAAGTCCCTTAAACTTAACCAACACTAAATCTAAGAACTATGCCAGAATTTGGGGACATCTAATATGGAGACATTCACATATGCTTCCAAACCAGCCCTTTCGCGACGGGGTCTGGAGCTAGTTTGGTTACTCAGTTACGGCGAGTCCTCGTCACTTTAAGGAAAGACAGGATAAAGAAAACAAACAAACAAACAAAAAAATGAAAACAAGAAAGAGAAAGAACTTGGTCCCCAAGTAACATTTTCTCCAAATTGCTGAAATTATTGACCATTTAAAAAAATAAATATAATTTTCTAGCCCTCAAGGCGAACCTTTCACCTCCGAGCTTGGCGATCGATGGGTCTGCGGTGCTGCGCAGTCACTGTGAGAGCAGCGGGCAGCTAAGAGTTTCCGACACACTCCAGCGCCTTGCCCCGCTGCTCCCACACCGCTCCTCCCGCGGTTAGATGTTGCTGCCTCTTTAACTAGCCTCGTTTCGCATTATTAGTTTTTATGCAGTTGAAAAAAAAATAGCCATCTAAGAAGCTGTATTGCACTGCCGCAGGATAAAGTCTGACATATTAGAAGAATTTAAAGTTTAAGCCAGATCTGAATCTAAATCCTTGTTCCTTTTGGTTAAATAGAGCGCCTTCAGGAATATATTGAATTTTTATGAGTCTCTTTTAGTGTTAATTAATGTGTATTCATGGCTATGAAGGTTGCGCATGTGTGCACATGCATGTGGAGGCCAGAGGTCAACATCCAGTATAGTTCTTTAGGATCATCATCCACCTCTTGAGACAGGGTTTCTCAGGGGACTCAGCCTCCAAGGAGACTAGATTGTCTGGACATACAGCCACAGAGCTGAGCCTTTTAATGTGTATTCTAGAGCTAGGGCTCAGGTCCTCATGCCTGCAAGGCAAGCATTTTAGACTGAGATAGCTCCCTAACCTTCCTTTGACATTTGGAAACTGGAGAGACTAGTATTTGGTTTTGGTTGGTATGAAGATTGAATGAGATGACTCATGTCATAAAGTCAACACCGAGAGACAGGCCTGTTTCACAAGTGTTGTCTCATTTCTCTAAATGATTTTGTCACTCACTGTATACTTCTGAACTTTGTAATAGTTGTACCGCTCAGAACACACCACTCTTCTTGCCTCCTTTCTGTCCCCAAGAGTATTACCCAGAGGCTGTTCATTTCTCAAGAGCTGTTATGGTTAGAGTTATGGATTCTGCACCCTAGATCGAACCCAAAGGCAGCCTTGATAGCTCAGACCTTCCAGGTGAATTAAAACCCCTCCCATTATGTAGATCATGGACCCCATCACACAATCTGTATTGAGGGTCTATGAACAAAGTAGGGGTACAGGGATGATGTAATAAACAGAAGTAAGCAAGCACATAGAGGGTAGGTTCCCCACTGTCTGTGGATATGAACCCAGCCTTATTAATATCAGCTCAACTCCTTGGCCAAGAGCTCAATGCTCTTTATAGTGAAATAAGACAAAGTCTTTTTTTTTTTCCCAAGACAGGGTTTCTCTGTAGCTTTGGATCCTATTCTGGAACTAGTTCTTGTAGACCAGGCTGGCCTCAAACTCAAAGAGAGCTGCCTACTTCTGCCTACCGAGTGCTGGGGTTAAAGGCGTGCACCACCGCTGCCCGGCTAAGACAAAGTCTTAATACAAACAGTTGTTAAACATTCCTGAGCAGTGCCACTTCCTGTGAGGTAGCCTTGTTGGGACTGGCCAACATTTGAATACAAGGTCTCCCCAGGATGTAGCAATGATCAATAACTCCTGTGCCTTTGAACACAGGATGATGCTAGTCTCTCCGTGTATCTCAGGCTGGTCTGTAATTGGTTATGTATCAAGGCTGTCCTTGATCCCATGGTCCTCCCCCAGCTTCCTAAATATTCAAATTACAGGCCTGTGTCAATAGACTCAGCTTCAGGAGCGAGGGTTGAGTCCACTGTCCCAGTGCCATGAACTCTCCTCACTGCTAAAAGAAAGAGGAGTTTTAGTTAAGGACCCAGGAGCTTAGAGAGCATCTAAAGTGCCTGGGGTTTTAATGTGTGAAGGACCGAGTTGTGACACACAGAAGAGAACCCCTTTTCCATCTTCTCTGTTTTAGGTTTTCTTACGTCTATAATCTTATTTAACATAACATTTAAGTGGTCAGTATTGTAGAATAAATAAATAAAAGACTTCCTGGCAGCATCTCCTCTTAAGAATTCCCTCAACATAGTTCTGCACTTGGCATGGAGTATTTCATGTTACCCCCACAACAGCTCACATGAGGCCCCTTGTCACACCCGATGCTATAATGTGGAACAATTTAAAAACTCTGGGAGTACGTCATAGGCCCAACTGCAACATATAGATATGCAGACATTCACAGAGTACACACAGAGATATACACACAGACAGTCAGACAGACAGACAGACAAATGCATACATATACACAGGCACACACACACAAATGCATACATATACACAGACACACACACACAGAATACATCAACAACTGCTTTGTCTTACTGTTTTTTTTTTCCTGAGTCTCGAACTGTATCACTTTTTTCATTGCTGTGACCAAGTCACTTGACAGAAATAACATAAGAGAAAAAGAGCTTACACTGGCTTACAGTTTGAGGAGATACAGTGCATCACAGAGGAGCCTATGGAAGCTGGTTGTATTGGACAAATTGTCAGGAGGCATTGCAGAAAGGAAGTGAGGCTATAAAACTGGAGACTCGCACCCAGAATACTTCCTCTTGTATGGCTCCACCTCCTAAAAGTGCACAGCCTTTCCAAACAGTGCCACTGGCTGGGGACTAAGTCTGAAAACCCAACAGCCTGTGGAAGGCATTTCACATTCACATCACAGCACAAGCTAAAAGCAAACCAGCCAAGCCGGCAAATGCTTGCCTCCAGCTCCTGGAGCAGAGCCTGGGCCTGTTGCACAGGGGACTCCACTGTTTCTCAGTGTGTCTCCCTGATTTTACCACGAGTAGTTCCTCCAGACAGCTCTCCTGATGCACAAGGGGAAGCCACTTAAAGACCGAGAGTTTTTCCACCAAGTTCTCACCCCAGGGCTAACAGGACAGGAATAAAACTCACACGCTTCTTCCTTCTGCTCAGGTTGTCTCTCAGAAGCCTGGAAGCTTCCAGTTACTACAGAAGTCCAGTGGTCCCAGCGGATAAACACCACCTTTACAGAGCCTTGGAGACTTCTCCCTGGCCCCTTCCTATGGCACACAAAATTTCACACCTTTCAGTGTTCCCATGGCTGTGTGACCTGTAACCTGTGCATCTATCTGTTGCTAGGCGGGGTAACATGTCTGTCTCCCTAACAGCCCCTAGGCTCCGCTGGAAGTAGCAAGTGTACTTTGTTCTTCCTGCCAGGCCCTGCAACAGAAAGTGTCCTAGGTTTTGCAGCACACTCAGGTGACCTGGGGGCTGACTGATCCTTCCAGTTTTTTTTTAGTTTGTGGTGTGTGTATGTACGTGTGTGTGTGCATGCATGTGCACATATGTGTACGTGTGTGTGTGTGTGTGTGTGTGTTACAGTGACAGGATGAACAGTGAGATGTCAGAGAACAACCCTGAGTGTGTCAGTCTTGCCTTTCACCTTATTTGAGACAAGGTCTGTTGTTTGCCACTGCATAAATACGTCAGGCTAATTGACCAGTGAGCTTCTGGGCATTCTGCTGACTCCAGCTCCCGTCACCCCAAAAGTGTGCTGGAATTACAGATGGGCACTACCATGTTCATTTTTTTTTTACATGGATTCTGGGCATCTGAACTTAGGTTCTCACATACCAGGGGCAACTAAAGTGCTGGCGACTTCTTGAGCCTCATTACATTAGCAGGGTCTTTGTGTGAGCTACTTTAACCCCTGTGGTGAAAATAAGATACTGGCATGTGATGTGCTAGGTCCCACATGAACTCACGCTAAAATGTTGCCTATTATCAGGTATGCTGTGATCATACACACACACACATACACACACACACACACAAACACACAGGCACACACACGTCCATATTAAGTTTCTCCATTGTTGTCAATTTACTCATTAAGTCTAAAATTGTCATTGCCAACATGAATGCAATCAGATAAGGGTTGCAACCATGGGGCCTATGTTCAGCAGCCTGAAGACAAGGAAGATGAAGTTGCAGGTCTCTGTCTTGAGACTGCTCTCTTACCACTAAGGAGAGGCTTGTTTTGCCGGTAGGAGGCAGGCAGCTGGCCGATGCCTTCCATCCTGTGGCTCATGACCCGTGCAAGGTGACCTGTGTGGTGCAGGCTTCCCACAATGACGCTGTGGAGGTACACAGGCTCGATGAAGTGGCAGAGGAGAGCACCCTGCAGTCCCAGCACGTTCCAGCTAGAAGGAAAAGCAAGGGTGAAGTCAGTGGGATTCCTGTGTCTGCTGGGGATGCAGAGCTGGCAGCTCATGGGCCATTCAGGGAGCTGGGCCTGTGAGTGATGTTGGTGTCTCCCTGTCCTTCAGCTGCCCGCTCCTTTCCATGTCCCCTTTTCCAGCCTGGGGAACGATGGCCTGGGAACTCCTCAGAGGCAAGGACCTAGTCCTGACTCTGTTAGTGTCTCTGCATGTTCAGTAAACTCAACTTCCTTTTTCACGAGTTGTTAGAGAGACAGGAAGTGCCATTCTCTCAGTGACTTCAAATTAGATTGTTTAAAAGAAGATGCTTGGTTCCCAAAGTGAATCGGAAGTTTTTTTTTCTTACATACTATATGGAAAAGGTTCCGAAACTGAATTTGCTGATTTCCATTTGGGGAAAAGCTTTGACTTCCATTCCCTTTGTCCTTTGTAGGAATGACCTACCGTGCTGAAATTAAAGGACATTAGTAAATGACCTTGTTTTGGTCTGGGGATGGTTTTTTAAATTATTTATTTATTTTAAATAACCCAGATCTCAGAGATGACTGACAATGGCCCTTTCTTTGAAATAAGTACAGCTCTGGGTGACTGTTCTTACTTCTTCAAGCAGAGATGCCAGAATACTGTGAGACTCATTTCTTTTTTATCCCCCGACCTACCCTAACTTCCAGGGTAGAAAGTTCTGTGTATCTACTACTTAAAGCAGTGCTTGGTGGTTTCCACTCTAATGTGTTTCAAATGAACCCCTGTTGGAGGCAGGCATTCTGCAGCTAATTTCTTACATCATTGTTCTTTTTCATTAATTAACATTTTTCCACTGTTGGAGCCATTATTGTGGGACCTCCATGCTGTACATCTCTTCTGATGATTAATAAGGAGTCATTATATCTCTCTTCCCGAAGCAGTCAATTAACACAGAATTCTTTCCATTAATTACCGAATGTGTCTCTACCTGGAGAGCAATCTGCTCCAAGAACCAGTGACACCAATTGCTTTCAAAAGTTCTCTTTAAATTTTATCCCGAAAACACAAGCAATTTAGCTGGCGATATTAATCTGCCTCGGAAGCATCATGGTGAATGAGAAACATCTTTTAATCTCATGCAAGAAAAGGCAGCCATCTGGCTGGCAAGGATTTCAGGGAACCACTCTCCCAGCCTCCCTCTGTAAATGCAGGTCATTAAAGTAATGTGTTCATCTACATAAAACTCAAATGGAATATAAAAGGTAATATTTATATACAAACAATTTAGTCCCACGATTTAAACAGTCGTTGGTTTTATGAAACATTTACTTTAGACTATCAGATTTGCATAACTTCATTTAAAAATATTGTGGTCATTTTCGAGAAGTCACACTAGTCCTCTCAGCAAAGAAAGGGCCGTCCTCGGATACGTGCGCTTTATGCCAGTGTAAATATCAGAATGGACGGAGACAAAGGGCATGTCTCGAAGAAGGACATGCCCTCATTCCTCATGTCTTTTGGCTGTAATGGTTCTGCTTCATTGTGAATTTTCAGTACAAAATGACACGCCCGCTGGGGTTCCTCCGATGCTCTCACTTTTCACTGACGAGTTACAGATTGTCTACAAAGCTCCGGGGAGGAGTCCTGTGCTATCTGGATCTCTTCCTGGGAGGAGGAAGAGTGTTAGTGGTTTTGAGTTGTGTTTGAGGAATTTGGCTTATTCCCTTATGTCTTTTTTCTTTTACATTTACTTATTTATATTATTGTTTTTTCCCCACAATATATTCTGATCATGTTCTCCCCCTCTCTCAACTCCTTCCAGATCCTTTCCATCTCTGTCTCCGCCCAACCTTATGCTTCTCTCTCTCAAATATAAGGCCAAACCAAAGAATTTAACTCAAAACAAACAAACAAACAAACAAACAAGATAAAGAAGTGAGAAGCTAAGAAGAGAGATAACGAGATGGATCAATGGGTAAAGATGTCTGCTGCCAAGTCTGGGGACCTGGGTTTAATCTCTAGAACCCAATGGTTGGAAGGAAAGTTGTCCTCTAGCCTCTACATGTGCAGTGTGGCATGTGTTGGACCCCTCTCCTAATTAAATAAGAAAAATGTAGTAGATTTTTTTTAAAGGTGAATGCCAAGAACAGTTGCACATTCTTATAGCTTAGCTCCAGTACTTGAGAAATGCAGAGAGGAGAACTGTGAGTTGGAGACCAGCCTAGGTGAGACTCTGCTTGATACAAACAAATAGCACCCCATAAATAAACAAATAATAAATACGCACGTAAATAAATAAATACCGAGAAAGAATAAAATAGAATTGCTACCATGTAGTGTTTTGGACATATTCTTTTTTTCGATTTGGAGATGGTGGGCAAGCATGCCAAGGAAAGGTTTGTAACAAAGGATGCTCAGAAAGTCTGCCAAGAGGCAACTATCTGAGCAAAGGGCTTTGGGTGACAGACGCGGAAGAGGAGCTTACAACCCCTAGACTGTCGGTAAAATTTAGAAATTTCTTATCAATTAAAAGCAGAATAATATATAAATCTCCCTTGATCACAAGGCATCTTCTTCAAATAAACTAAGCCTCAGACAATAAAATGAGAATTCCCGTGAAGGGATATAATAGTTCTTGAGACCATTAAAGTATCGGCTTTGAACAAAACTTTTGGAACACTTTTGAGTGTTTTGATTCTATTGGATTGTCTAAAGACAAATAACTTCTATATCTGATTCCCCCTAATAACCTTTACAATAAAAAGAAAAATCAACCTCCTCTTTGCCTGGCTATAGGAGTTTAAACAAATTCAGCTAGCACGATCAATAAAACCAAATGTCTCCCTGAATATGAACTGGAGAATCCTCAGCATTCAGGATTGAATGGAAAAATACCTTTCCTTTTGTTCAAATAGCTGATATGCCTGTAATGTTGACAGAGACAGAAATCCTATGCCTAGCTTTCAATATAGATAATCCCTAGATAAATATATCTTTGTCTGTTTGTCAATCACAGAAATACCACAGATAAGTGGAGGAGAGATTTTAGAAAAGGTTGCCTTTCTTCAGCCAAGGGATGTCATCTCCTTGCTGAATTTGAACTGTGACCTCTACTTTAGGGAGAAAATGATGAGACTCAGTGTGCATGAGGCCCTCCCCACGGGTGTGTGCCTTGAAGTTCAGACAGAGAACATCCATTGGCAAGGTATATTTTGGACATTTTCTCTTTCTTCCTGGTATTATAGCATCTTCATGTGGTCCTGGAAAAAGATACAACCCTTTAGAATTATAAATGTGCAGTGTGAGATAGTTCCACAGATCCACACTTCTACTTTCTTCTGTCAGTTTGTTTTCTGAACAAAACACCACATCGATTGCAAAATTTTCCCATGATCTGTCTGAAGACTGTGAAGGTCACACTGAGGGAAGCAACTGTCACAGTCTGCGGGTGGTACTCAGGAACTATGGTGAAACCATGGTCTTCAACTTAGCCTGTATACTGGACCAACTAGAATCTTTAAAAACATTCTCTACCTTGGTTCTTGTTCTAGTATCTATTGCTGCGATAAACACCATGACCAAAAGCACCTTAGGGAAGGGAGCATTTATTTCACCTTACAACTCCAAGTAACACTGTACATCTCCGAGGGAACCCAGGGTAGGAACTCCAGGCAGGAATTAAAACTCCTGTCTGGAGATCAGAGCTGAAGGTGAAATGCAAAGAAATGCTGCTTACTGGCTCGCTCCTCATGACTGGCTTACTTCTTTTCTTATAGCATCCAGGACCACCTGTCCAGGGATGGTACTGCCCATAGTAGGATGGGCACTCTCATATTAATTGTTAATCAAGAAAATGCCCCACAAACATGCCTCTAGGCAAGTCTGATTGATGGTAATCCCTTAATTGAGATCCCTTCTTCCTAGGTGATTCTAGTTTGTTAAGTTGTCATAAACTAACCAGTACAGTCCCCAAACACAGTCTTATCTGATTGGTTGTGAGTCTAGACAACCCTGGACATCAGTATTCCAACATCATTCGATGCTGAAACTTTAGCATCTGAGTAGTTAATGAAAATTTGGAATACGAAAGGTCAGAGGAACTACAAATCCAGATTCTGGTGTTTTGGGCCATCCTGAACTACTTCCTGTGTTGAGCAACAGTCCACTCAGAGATCCTATAAGTGTGGTACCTGAGTGATACAGGCCTGGGCACTTGGATGAAGCACATACTCTCGGTCCCCATCCTAGACCTGCCAAATCAGAACCTCTGAAGTGGATTCAAGCAGCTGTGTTTTAAACAAGTCTTCCAGGTGATTCCAATGCTGCTAGAGTTTGATATCTGCCCATCCACATTGGAATATGGTCCCACTAGTGCAGTCTGCTTCCCAAGCCATTGAAAGACTACAGGAACTCCATCTTGGTGTTATACTTGTTTCCACAATGTATTTCCCTGGTGTCATACCACTTCCCCTCCACCTTTATGAAGACAACTAATAATGCAAAGCCAGAGTCACTTGACTGGTCCATTCCCAGTTGACTAACCACTTTCCCCTGGTTTTTATATGTCAAGGAGAAGAATGATAACCATTTGAATCAATAACAGGACTTCTGGGAGCTCATCCCATGACTATACTCTAATATAGTACCAGGGTATATGTATCAGGACAGTCTTGTCATAAATGCAAAGCAAACTAAAGACTGGAAATAATTAAGATTCCTTTTACTATAGAACTGATTTAATAGACTGCAGTATATAAACAGAAAGAAAAGATAAGATAACCACACGGATTTCTTTATTGCTTGTGGTACATACCACTTGTCCCTGTCAAGGGCTCCTCCTGAGTACCTCACCTGCCCTCTTGGTTTTCTCTATGTACCTTCTCTCAAGTGGATACATCACATACAACTGGCTGCCTACATAATGCCTCTTCCATGTCATTTATTAGGACATCTAGGACTGATTTAGATCATGCCTGCTTACTCTCTTTCTTTCTATACCCATAGTATCCTTACTCATT